GGACGGCCTGCGGACGCCAGGCCCCCAGCGCCCCTCCCCCCCAGCGCCCCCCGCCGGGAGCCCCCCCGCGACCCTCCTGGAGCGGCTGGCCTGGGGGGCTCAGGCCGGTGGCAGCGGCGGCGGCGGCGGCGGCGGCGGCGGCGGCGGCGGCGGCGGCGGCGGCGGCGGCGGCGGGCGGCGGGCTGCGGCAGAGCGCGCGCGGCCCACGCGGCGAGGGCGGGACGACGCGGCGGCCTCGGCTTGAAAAAAAGTGTCGCGACGCCTGGCCAAGGGCGACAACGAGGCGGTGACAGCACGATCCAGCGCCACGACGGCGTCAGGAACTGCCTCGCGTACTGGCTGCGCCTGTGGCGCGCTGGGCGTGGACACAGAGCAGGTCAGCCTTCGCCAGCGACCGCTCGCCATGCCGGCGGCCGCTCGCAAACGCGTGGCGGCGACGCTGCAGCACGGAGGCTTCCACCCTGATTGCCTCTGCGCGCGCACGGCGGCGCAGGGCGGCGCGCTGCGGGGCAGCGGGCGCCGGGCCAGCGGCACGCCACGGCGCGCGCCTGAGCGAACCGGGCGGCACGCCGCAGGGGCACGCACTAGGCAGCGGCCGGCAAGCAGGCCACCTGCAGCCCAGGCTCGGGCGCTTCGACCAGGCGCGCGCGCGCGCGCTTGACGACCAACCGCGCCAGAACAAGTCGCCGTGGGCGCAGGCGGGCCCATGTCAAGCGCGGGGGGGCGGGCGGCGTTTCGAAAACCCCGTGCTTTTGCTCTTTGGCACACGCGTCACATTGTGAGCTCTGGGGCCTGCCCGAGCTCAGACTGTCTTACTCTCTCGGGGCAGACAGCGAGGAGACTGGGGCACACCTCGCACGTACCCCAATCCAGAGCGCCTGTAGGGCTGACAACACCGACTGTCTTGTGATCTTTCCTGCTCTGGACACACGGCGCCCCGCCCGCCCGGCCAGCACGGAATGCAGGACGCATCGTCGCTGCCTCCGCCCCGCCCCCGCCTCTTCCTCTGCGCCGCGCCCTCTGCCTCCTGCTGCTCCTCGCCCTCCTCGTCCTCCTCCTCCTGCTGGTCGTTGTCGCGGCCGCGTCGCTGGCAGCACTGCTGCTGGTGGCTGTGCTGGCGGAGCCCCAGCGGCCACCCCCTTGGCTGGACGAGTTTCCAGTGGCTCAGCGGCGGACCTGGGGCAGGCGAGACCGGCCTGGGAGCGGGCAGGGGCCAGGGCGTGGGGCCCGCAGACGGGCGCGCGGCAGCTCCGTCCCACCTCCCGCCCCTGCTCTGCTCCTCGTTCCTCCTCGTCGCAAGGCCTCCTCCCTGCCCACGCTGACGCCCAGGACCACCACCACGACTGCGACCAGCAGCACAACCGCCAGGACTGCGGCCAGCACCACCACCACGACTGAGACCGGCAGCAGCAGCACCACAACTGCGATCAGCAGGAGCGCCACGACCACGACGAAAAAAACAACCACGACCGCGACGAGCAGCTCCACCACCACGACGGCAACAAACTGAACCACCACTGCGACGAGCAGCGCCACCAAGACTGCGCCGCAGCATTACCACAAGCAGCACTGGCAGCAAGACTGCGACGAGCAGCGCCACCACGACTGCGACCAGCAGCTGCACCACGACCGCAACCAGCAGCACTACTACTACGACGGCTGCGACGAGCAGGACCACAATCACGAGCGCGACCAACAGCTCCACCACCGCGACTGCGAACAGCAACGCCAAGACGGCGACTGGCAGCAATCTGGCGACGGCAGCCCCCCCAAAAAAAACACCAGCGACAGTAGCACCACGAAGGCACCCAGCAGCACAACCACGACCAAGACCAACAGCAGCACCACCAAGACGGCATCCGTTCTGTATATGAAGGAAAATTTTGCTCGAACCTCGCTGTCGCTGCTTGACTGCGTCGTCAGCGGGGAGTCTCGACAAACAGGCGCAGGCCAGGTGAGGCGGCCAGGGACATCGTCGACAGAGTGGCGCCGAACTTATTCCCATGCAGCGTTAGCTCTGTGCACCCGCTGACACGGCTAGCTGCCCTTGGCGCCCCAGCCTGCTTCTCCCGGCGCTTTTTCGCGACTTCCTGGGGGGCCGTTTTGCTTCATCTTGCCCAGCGGGCGGGGGAAGTAGCGCACGGGTGGTGAAGGCAGGCGTCGGCGGGCTGCTGGCGGACTGGCAAGCTAGCAGCGCGGCGCCCCAAAACAGGCAAGCAGCACTTCCCGGCGCCAAGCTACAGCAGGGAACAGGCGCGAGCGGCGCACGGTAAATTAGGTGAGGCAGCGGCGGCCTGAAGACAGGGTGCAGCACCACCGCCTGCCCCACGCCAGCAAAATAATGGAAAGGACGAAGGCAAGACACAAAAGCCCGACACTCAGGCCACGACCTGGGGACGGGAACTGGCGGCGGAAAGTCGAGGACAAACTGACAAATACGGCGCGCGACGCTCCCGCGGCCCGGGGGCCGGCGGCGCTCGAACGATCTCCTGCGACAAACTCGCGCTGAAGTTCGCGCGCCGCACAAGAAGTCCTGCACGGCAGGCGGGCCCCCTGGGCTGGATCCCCAGACCCCCGACGTAATGAATTTTTCATTACGTCGACCCCAGAGTTCTCGACCCTTTCCCCAGGACCGGTTTGTCATCCTGAGTCGTTTTTTGACGCTCCCGAGGCCCGGTGAGGGCCCCCGGAGACCGAAAATTAGGAAAAACCTCCCGCCATGATTTTTTCATTACTCGAGGGGGTCTGGGTCTGGCCGCACGCCCGCCCCTCCGCCCAGGGCCGCCGCAGGCCCCGCCCGGGCCCGGCGCACAGCACTTTTTTCCTTGAAGGCAGAAAAGGGCCGCCGCCGCCGCCGCCGCCACTGCCTTGCTGGTCGAACGCGGGGGCCCGCTGAGGGTGCGCAGGGGTGGGGAGGGGGGGCAACCAAACCTCCCCAAAACACACACACACACACACAAAAAAAAAAAAAAAAAAAAAAAATCCACAGGCCCTCCCCCCAGCTGGTGGCCTTCCGCTCTGGGCCAGTACGGGGCAGGGCGCCACCAGCTCGGACAGGGAAGCGGCCAGCCTCCTCCTGGCTGGTGGCGGTTCTCTCTTGTCTGGTGCACTCTGTAGATCGCCGCCCGGCACGTCTTCGTTGAGGTCCTCCCTGCGCCTCGCCACCCCTGGCGCGCAGGTCTGGTCCAGTCCAGGCCTCTGCGGCGGCCAGGCTTCCACGCCCCTCCCCGTTCCCTGCAAATCTCCGGCACCCAGGGCGCGAAGCCAGGCCACCACTCGGGGAGCACCGCCGCGACGCCACTTCGAAGCTACCACTGCGCACGCGTGGCCTTTTGGCTCTCCAGACGCCCTGTCGGCCTCATCGCCGCGGCGGGGACACACGGACAACGTCACGCAACGCGCGACGGTAGACGCAACACAACACTCGTTCAAGAACGCGCGTTGCAAGGAGGCCGACCCGAAGGCTGCGAGTTCCGGATTCTGACGCCGCACGAACCGGAAATCGAAACAGGCAAACCAGCGAGCATGTGGCGGGTTCCGCGTCGGGCGCTAGCGCCAAACACGAACCAAAATGCACACGTCAGGGGATGGACCAGGTTTCCAGCCGGACCACCGCCCACGCCAACGCGAAACGGCGGCCAGGCGGGCAGCGAGGAACGAGGCGGACAGGGGGAAAAAACACAAAAACCAAACACACAAAAGGACAAGCACAATACCAGCCCCTCTCTGCAAGGTGCCGCGGGCAAGAGGGCCTGCTTAGGAACGCTGGCGAAAACTGCCCGGTGGACCCCGGGCCCAGACATCCGACGTCTCGATTTTTTCGAGACACGGGCCCCCAACCTCCCGACCACTTCCCCGGGACCGGTTTTTCATCCCGAGTCGTTCTTTGACGGTCCCGAGGCCCGGCGAGGGCCTCCAGGGGCCGAAAACGACGAAAAACCTTTGTCTCGATTTTTTCGAGACGCCCGAGGTCTGGGGCGGGCAAGAGGACCTGCTTAGGAGCGCTGGCGAAAACTGCCCGGTGGACCCCGGGGCCGCGTCCCCTTGCCACCCTGCCGCTTGCCGCTGCGAGCGCGCGAGCACAGCCATCTCCGGGCGGCGGCGTGGGCACGGGGGCACAGTGCTTCCCATCGCTTAGGCTTGGTGGTCTCCTCCTCCTCCTCCTCCTCCTCCTCCTCCTCCTCCTCCTCCTCCTCCTCCTCCTCCTCCTCCTCCTCCTCCTCCTCCTCCTCCTCCTCCCAGAACGAGTTTCGGAATGCTTCCTGATGTTCGAAGTGCCTGCGGTCGCGCGACCAAGCCAGGGCCAGGCCAGGCACACAGGCCCACGACGGGGCCGGCCACTCAATAAAACAGGCGGGGGGCGCACCGTAAAAGTGCTCGAACGGAACAGATAACCGTGCGCCAGGCGGCGCAACTGTCAGTGGTTGTCACTGGGAGCGGAGCATCGAAAGAACAAGGGTGCAACCACTACACCCTGCGAAATGCTTAAGAAATCATGGGTTAAGAAATTAATGGTCTCAGAACTTGAATAAAAACCCAGAATTTCTATCAAAATCTTAGGAATTCAATTGAAACATTAAGAATAATCGAGACTCTGGCCGAACATGTAAGTTTTCTTAAGCATCGCATAAGGTGTAAAACTGACTCTCGAATTCCAGCCGGCGACGACCGTACAAACACCGATCGGATACCAGTTTTCGTTGTCATCCATGTGCACATTTGGTTATATTCTTCTGGGGGCACGGGGCGCCCCGAGCAGACACGAGCTGTGTTTTTTTTTCGGGCGTATGCTACAAGGCGTACGAGAGGGGCACGGGGAGAATGCGTCGTCGTAAGCCTAAAGGCCAAAGTATCAAACCGGGCAAGAACAGCGGATCAACAAAGGCAGAGGAGGCAATGGTGAAGATGCCAGCCCAGACGGGCAAGAGGAGCAAGCGCCTGCCACGCAAAAGGCGGAGAGGGAGAAACATCGATTTTCCCGAGCGTCGCCCGTGCGCCGATCACCGAAAAGGCGGGCCGTCCTCGCGAACATGCACGTCGCCCTCGCCAGGGGGTCCTTTGGGTGCGTGCGTCGCAAGCTTGGCGGGCACCCAGGAGGCGGATCGTACGGGCGCCGCCCTTGGGAAACCAGGATTAGAGACAGAGACGCTAGCCAGGGACGCTAACCAGGGCCGGCGAACGGGCGACGCACAGGGGACGCACGGCGTTCCTGGGAGTCATCCTGGGTGGTTTTTGAGGGTCCGGGGGCCCAGCGAAGGCCCCAAGGGGCCCAAAATAGCGAGAAGCCGCCCGTCCTGATGTTTGGAACGGCGCGGTCATGTCAGGGGTTTTGGAAACGACGCGATCCTGTCAGGGGTCATCAAACTGGGCCGTAACACTCCTCCCCTATCATCCCCGTCAGCTGGGCAAGCGCGGGCCCCAGGCTTGCCAGCCGAACGCCCCGTCGGGAGCGCACGGCAGGACAGGTTTGCGCTCCCAGCGGCCCCTCTAGACACAAGGGAATTCCCAGAGGAAGCCCCGAGAACGCCCCCAGGAGGAGGCAACGAAGGAATCCCGAGAAGGCCCGAGAAGGAATCCCCCAAGAAGGCCCAAGAGAAGCCCCGTGAAGGAATCCCCAGGAAGACCCGACACCAAGAGAAGCCCCGAGAAGATCCCCAATAGAAGCCCCGAGAAGAAATCCCCAAGAAGAATCAAGGAATCCCCCAAGAAGGCCCCTAGACACCAAGGCCCCCCAAAAACACAGCGCGGCGTCGAAGCCACGCCCCGCTGCCAGCATCGCAGCCCTGCTCCCCAGGCGGTCCTCGGATACTTCTGCGGAGCCTGTACAGGAGAGCTCGCGCAGAGCACTCCAGCAGGCGCTCCGAAGCGGCGCTGGCACCGAGGCGGGGCTCACCGAAAGCAGCTGGGATCTCCACACTGCGCTGCTGGTTGAGGCGTGCGTCGTATTCGTGGGACGGGTAAGGTTTACGCTTCGCCGCTTCTCCTCCCCAACCTCTCTGCATCACAGACGCGCACATGAGATGCAT